AGCTCAAGCTGACAGAGACTTGGGAAAGTCATCCTCCACAAGCAAAAACAACAAATAGGAGAATCAGATGCTTAAGCAATCCACATCATCAAGTTATTAAAAATAGACAAAGAAGGACGGATCTTCTGTTACTTAAGAAGACAACAGGAAGAATTTACAAAATTAAAAATATGAGTAAGTCGAGAGAAACTAATACAGGGATCAACATATATGAAAACAACTTTCAAAATATACAGATTAAGTAGGAGTTTGGATACAGGGAATGAGAAAATTTGGAAACTATAAAATGTAACTTATGAAGTAACCCAAAATGAATGAGAAGTTGAAAAATTCGAAAGAGAAATTAAAGGACCTAGGAAAGAAAAGTTCATAATTTATCAAGTAGGAGAGACTACGAGAAAATGGGGAAGGAAAACTGAAAGGGATAATGACAGAGGATTTTTGAGAAATAATGAAACATATTAATCCTGTGATTCATGGAATTAAAATTCCCAAAAGGGAAAAAGTCTCTCTTTCTTTCTTTTCTTTTTTTTTTGTACCCAGGGGTTCAATCCCTGATACCAAAATCAGGATGAACCGCTAAGCCACATCCTCATCCTCAGCCCTTTTTAATTTTTTGTTTTGAGACAGGGTCTATCACTAAGTTGCTGAGGTTGGCCTCAAATTTGTGATCCTCCTGTCTCAGCCTCCTATGGGATTTTAAGCATGTGCCACAGCATCATCCAAGAATAACTATCTTGAGATTATCAAAGCAAAATGTTCCTAAAAACAGCCAGAGGAAAAACACTCTACTTAAAACAGAAAGGTACTTCAAAGAAAAATGATTTCTCGACAGCAACAATGAAGATAAAGACAAAAAAAAAAAAAACCCTAAATTTTACATTCAAAAAATAACAGTTAAACTACATATCTTTTTTTAAAAAAATCAAGTGTGAACATGACCTACCAATGAAATTTTGGAGCATCTATCCTAGAGCATCATGTGAATGTTCTGTCATGCACGGGAACCCAGACTGTTAACTCACACACCTTCTTCAGAGTGTGAGTGGTTAAACTCGTGCACATCCAGGCCACAGGATGCTGCTGAGCAACAAGAAGAAATGCAGCACTGTTACACACAGAAGCCCGGATGACTCTCCAGAGAAACGTGCCGAGTAGAAAAAGGCAACCGTGAAAAGTTACATATTTCATGGTTTCGTTTATATAATGTTGTTGAAATGAGAAAATCATGGAAACAAAAGGAAAAACAGATTAGTGGCTGGCCATTAGGGTTTAAGGAGGGAGGGAGAATGGGGCAGGGTTTCTATAAAAAGTAGCACAGGAAGAACTCCGGCAGTGGTCCAGTTAAGTATCTTCACCGGGTGTTGCTCAAAGTGATACATGTGACTGGAGAGAGGGAGATGAATGTAGGTGTGAGGAGAAATCTGAATGAATTCTGGTCTGTACCGATGCCCATTTCTGATGCTGATACTGTACTATACCTGGCAAAATGTTCCCCTTGGGGAAAGCTGAGGGTCGGGGTGAACAGACCCACATCTTTGCAACTTTCTGCAAATCCATAATTGTTTAAAAAACTTAAAAATAGCATTGAAAAAAATCAAAAGTGGACCGAGTTATGTCTAAAATAGGAAAAAAAAAATTTACCCCCAGGAAGAAATTTATCCTCACTGAAGGAACTCCTAGTGAATATATTTAAAGAAAAATGAAAATTATCTCATAGAAAAGAGCAACTTTGAACAAAGAAAGTGACATACATGTAGATAAATTTTAGTAAAGATTGACTAAAATAAAAACAGTATCTAATTTTGAGTGGTATCAAAAGGTAGACACAAAACACTTTAATAGCATGCAGGATGGAAAGGGTTTATTAAAAAGAAAATATGTCAAGGTGCACATGACTCAGGAAAAGCTAGAGATACTGTTTGAGACCTTCTTAGCTCTGTGTTTCATGTTAACATTTAGAGAGTAACCACCAGAAAAAAAACACAGATCAAAAAAAGACAGAAAAAAAGAAGGAAAGAAAGAATAAAAAGAACAAAATAAGTTGGTAGAAATAAATTTAAAAACTCACAATCATAATAAATATAAATGGAATAAACTCTGTAGCTAAAGATTAGTGATATCACGACAGATTATTATAGAAACAAAACCAAAAACTAGGAAAATAAATTCTAGTTATGTTCTCTTTATAGAAATGTCCACTAAAACATAAAGACACAGGAAGTTGGAAAATAAAAGAAAAAAAAACAAGCAAAATAAAACTGGTCCAGTCATATTAATATCAGACAATAGGAAAAAAAATTTTTTTGACCAGGGATTGAACCCAGGGGTGCTAAACCACTGAGCCACATCCTCAACACCCCCCACCTTTTTAAAAATTTTTTTTGTTTTGGAGACAGGGTCTCACAAAGTTGCTTAGGGCCTTGCTGAGTTGTCGAGGCTGGCTTTAAAGTGGCAACCCTCTGCCTTAGCCTCTCAAGCCGCTGGGATCACAGGCATGTGCCACCAGGCTTGGTTCAGACAATAGAAATTTTAAGGTGAAACTTAAAACATTCAGTATTGTTTGTATTTGTGAAAAACCTGAAACAAACTAAATAGTCACCACCAAGAAGATAAATAAGTATTGATTATGTACATGTATATGTGTATGCATATATATACATACCCATGTATACACAAACACACACATATGTCTGTATGTATATGCACATATATAATCAAGATACGTACAATGTAGGAAGCCACCCATTCTAGGGCATTCTGTCACAGCAGCACAGCCTTGGGCCATTCATGCCCACCTCCACAGATGAAACCATTAAACCTTATGAAATAATCTATGAATATATACATATTTTTTTTTAACGAGGGAGAAGAGGTATACACCTGACCGTGACAGTTCTGTGTACCATGTTACCTCTAAATGCCAAAGAAACTTCTGTGGAGCCCACTGTGCTTGTGTACTGTGGTGTTCCCCAGCCTCCCCTGGTCAAGACCTTTGTGCACAGAGCAGTCATTCACATTCACTGACGCTGCCTGACGTGGTGGCGGCTACACAGAAAGCTGGAATGTTTAAGGCAAATGTGAAAGCAAGGATGTAAATCTGATTGCTGTCAAAGGAAACAGAACTTTGGTTCCCAGGGCCAGGAGAAGTGATCTGTCCCTAGTGGGGCAGCCAGGACCTTCTCCCCTGGTCTCACTTGCCCCCAGCCGTCCTGTCATCAGAAGCAGGAAGCAGCGCTGTCGTAGGGGCTGGTGGCAGAGCTTGACCGTGCGCATCAGATCTTTCAGGACGATCCCTTTCCTGTAGCTAATTCTGCCTACTCCACCTTAAACGTCAGCTGTGCCCCACAGTTAGAAGCACAGGGGAGGGTGAACGAGGGAGCTGAGATGAACCATGACGTTATCGGTTGATTCTTTGGCTGTTACTGTCAGACATTTAAGTGGAGAAGGCTCAGAAGGTCTGGCCCCATCCCTTCTCCATACCCATTCTCTACTCTAGAAAATCACTATGGAAATTCCTATAGTCCTATATGGGAGTTTGTTTGGCAACGTAGATTCTATAAGGGATCCTCCCCAAACCCTGTCTTTAGGGAATTATTAAGGAATTGCTTTATTTAACCAATAGCCTTCTGGACAGAGACACCTCACACGTAACCAGTACAAAGCAGAATTCGTTTCTTTCCTTCCTCCCTCCCTCTTTTCTGCTCTTTGGTTTCTGTGAAGGCTCCCACCATAGGCTCTGCCTCAAATCTGGCTGACCTGACCGCCATCCTTCCCGCCCTCCTACCCACTCCTAATCCAGGGCCAAGGGCCAAACTACTCTCACGCTGTCTCTCCCACCAAATTCCTCCTCCCCTGCTTAATTCTCTAGTCTTTCTTGTGAACTATTACAAAAGCATCTTCAGTTGCTTCTCTGTCCTGGTGCCATGTGACCAAATACTATACGACTGAAGAGTGACATCCTGATTACATGTCATCCCTTGTCAAATCCCTCAGTGTCTGCCATTACTCACAGGATAAAGTCAGAGACATGAATAGGCCGCTACAGTCTGGCCCTACCAATTGCTCCAACCCCTCTCCTAACCGTTCATTGATGACTTCAAATACATGGCCACAGAACCAAGCTGCTTGCAACGGTACCAGCCTGACCTGGTCTTTGTTCACAGCAGACCTGCTCCTCACCCTCTGGGCTTTCAAGACATGGTTCAGGCCTCCTCCCCTCCAAGATGCTTTCAGGTTTGGAAGCATCTCTGTCCCATAGCATGGAAGGGGATGTGCCTGTGGCTTGTGCAGGGTTCTTCCCCAGCCTCTGCCATATTGAATTGAAACAATCTATTTAAATGATTTTCCATAGCATATGCTCCTTTTCACCTTGTCCTATCCAGCAATAGCAGGACTAGGAAGCATAACGGATTTTGAATCCATGTATGTGCAGCACTTTTGGGCCTTTACACATATGCTTTATTTACTTAACGCGTTAATCACCTGCTAAGCAGGTTCTTCCATTGGGAGCCTGGGAAGGAATCGGGCAGGAAGGCAAATGGTTCCCAGCCGCCTTCTGCATGCAAGAAGATCCCAATGCCTCTCCCATTTCAGAATCTCAAAGCAAGTTGAGGTGGAGAAGGGAAGAAAACAGTCGAAATGAAAATGGTTAAGTTAATTAATTGCAAGCTCGCTTGTAGGACCAGCACGTTTATTTAATCAGTTGCCTAGTAACCCTGCCTGTGTATGATGTGAATCTGATCAGCGTGCCTTGGGAACAAATGATGGGCCATTCTTTCTCCCAGGCACCCTCGCTCCCAGCCCGCTCTCATGTGCTCTGGGGTTTGGAAAGCCTGAATTCCCCCCATGCCCACTATCAGGAGGTTGTGAGGTGGAAACAGATGCGTGTCTTCTTCCTCTTGTCCTCTCTGTCTCCTGGACAAGGTCGGCCTGGACACGGGCTTTCAGCTGATGCATGCTAAGACAAGAAAAATGACCCACATCCTTTGCCTTTACAGAATGGTCTGCACACCAGGCGCTGAGAAGAGACACTTGGCTCTCAAAACGGTTATCATGTATGGACCCACATCAATAAACAAGAAATGTGTCCACGAAACACTGCAGGCCAGGTCCTCTGCCGGTGGCAGAATGCAGAGGGGAAAATTAAGAGGGGGACTTCAGGCTGCTGGTGTTGTGTCGCATGAGCTTTTGCGGTGACCTTAAACAGGGGGCAAGAATAGATGATGAGTTTAATTACGTAAGACCAGCTCAAGATAAACCGTGCAGTTTTGTTTCCTCTTTGAAAAGAAGAAAAAAAAAAAACTCAGGCTGTAACAGGCAACTGAACACTGAGCACCCCTTTGGTGCAGGATTTATTGGAGGATTTGATGACAAGATTTGCTTGTAGATTTCCACCTCCCTTATGTTATTTTCCTAGCTGGTCGTTTCGAACACCCCTCCCCCATCTTTATCCCCAACCATCCTGTTCTGCAGCCAAATAAAAAGGAAACATCAATGAAATAAAGACCCGTGTTTCTGCTTTGACACGCCGTGACCACAGTTTTATACTATTATGAGGTGGGGTGTCTTTTTTTCCTTCTTCTCTATTCGTCAGTCTCTGTGGATAAAAGACTCCATCTTCCATAAAGAATTCCCACCAGAAATCTTTATAAGCCCTCCATCAGAGAGACATTCAGCCGTCGTGCTGTGCAAAAGCTAATCTAATTAAGACAGGATCTGCTAAATTTAATAGCCTGCTATGAATTTTTACAGACATCTGGTAGCTGGGAGTTGGAACAGCTCTAACAGAAAATTCACATTGTCCAGATGACCAATATCAGGGTCAAATATTTTCTTTCTTTGGGGAATTGATATTGTCTTGGTATAGATGCTATTTCCAAACCATGATATCCTACAGGTAAATGCTCTGGAAAGAAGATTGAGGATGGAAACTCCTACATCTCAGCTCTCCATCTGCCTAGCAAAAGCGATGACATTTCCATTGTTTCATGGATGAATTTGACAACACACACAGAGGGCTGGCTTCATGGGTATGCACCCTGAATTGTTGCACCTTATACTAAAAAGCCTTTGCTCTGCTGTTTTGTCTTAAAATTCTTACTCTTGAACAGGAAGACCTATATTTTTACTTTTATATTGAGTCGTCCAAATTTTGCAGTAGGTTCTGTGTTCACAAAATTCTTTGCATGATGCTTTTGCACTGTAGACACAATTACTACCCCCTCCTACCCTTCAGGGTAATAGTATAAAATCCAAGCCAGTGGATTTTTGTCTTGATTTTAGTAAGCCAACTTCCTGACCAGTGGTCCTATGTAAGGTTACCTCTCAGCACCTCCCCAACAAGGTTCATATCCATTTGCACAAAATAAACACTCACACTAATATAAATGAGTTAAATTTCATATATGCCTATGTGTTTATAGTTGCAAAAAGGATCGATTATACACAAAATGATTATCTCTGAGGCATAACAGATATTAGGACTTATTTTCTGGAAGGAAAGCTGTTTTCACTTTATTTTGTCTTTCTTGTTTTTTAAAAAATGATATATATATTCTGTCCATTAGAAAATAAAACATAAAAACAAAAATCTAATTTTTGTTTTTTACTTAGGCTCCACTAATCTTTTCTTACACACAAATGTGAGCATACATTCATTCCTACATTTTAATTTGTTTTCTGAAAAGGTAAAATGGAGCATGTTGGAGCTTCTTCAGAAGTCAACCAGTTGTTCTGCTTCCAAAAGCAAAGCTCACATTCTAGGGTCCAGCACCTAATGGGGCTGATGGAGGTTTCCCTCCTTCACCTCATGTCCACAGGCAGAAAGGCTCTGTCAGCAGAGACCCCCTCTCCCAACACTTCCTGCTCCGAGAAGGCAGGTGCACGCACAGACAACTTTCTGTAGCACAGGAAATCAAGGAGGAGAAGAGCAACCCATTAAAAACCTATGTTCTGACAATATTTTGCTCTCGGCTGCTGAAAAACATAGCATCTAATAGGCTTTGAAGTGAGAAGCAGAATTCCTATGAAATGAGATTTTTTTTCCCCCAAAGTATCTGATGGAGCAGTGCCCCTCCACCAGAGCACAGCATGAATGACCTTGGGCAATGACAAACAATATAACACCCCCTCCCAGTCAGCCTGGATAATTGCCATGTTTAATAATTAAGCATGTGGTCTCAACTTGTGCTCAGCATTTCTGTAGAGTTCTGTGGGGCACCCAGGGGTGACTAGTGGACAAGGGTCAGGCTGCCAAGCCAGTTCTCAAAATGTGAATGGTTAAGAAATTCTTTGCTTCTTTTCATCCAAAGAGTTCCGGTCTCCCATGATAAAGCCCAAGGTATCTCCTGCATGGAAGAGCAAATTCCTCCAGTATTGTTTTAATCCATATCCCTGGGGCAGCTGAGTATTTAAAACAACAGAAAGAAGGGCCTCTGGTCCTCCTGCAGAGGTGTTGAGTCTGTTTTCTGACTCTTCTGTTTGACCATAAGTGCTACATGGAATACTCGCCTCTTGAGCTGCTTAGTCTTGTGCTGACTCTTGATTCTGGTCTTTGGGGGATCAGACCCATTTGTGTGCCTAGGAAAGAGCTGAAAGAGGCAGAGAGGCCCCTTGCATAAAGATGTCCCCACAACAAGTCAACTGATGCTTGAAGATGAAGGTATTGGTCACCTTCCGAATGTCCCAGTCCCTCCCACAGCAGGGCCAGGACTTTCCCAATTCTGTTTTCCCCAAAACTCCTTCCCAGGCGTGTGGTGCATGTGGTGGTGGCTGCAGGTCAGGACAAGCTCAGCTCTCTCACACACACTCTAGTTTGTGTGTCTGGGTGAGACCTGGTGCTATGTAACTGATTGGAGCTCTGTTTGGCTTAGCACTTGCTTTTTCCTCCCAGTAGTGCCCAGAACACAGAAAGGACAAAGTAGATATTTGTTAAATAAATCAAGAGCATGATCGGTATCATTCCCGTGTGTGCAAAGAGGCCCAAGGTGCTTTTAACTCCAAGCCCATCTGTTCCTGCCTGTCCCTTACTGCTGCCTGTCAGAAAGGAGGCATTAACGATTTTCTCAGCTTCTTCTAAACAGACACATCTTAGTTGGCTTACGCCTTGGAGGAAGCACAGTGCTAACAACGAGAGCATGGATGTGGGAGCAGGTTGCCCGAGGGAAGACATCCCCGCACACCATTTAGCAGCTGTGCAATGAAGGACAAGTTACTTAACTTCTCTGTTTCAATTTTCTCATGTTTAAAATGGAGATAATGCAAGTTTATATAGTATATGATTGTAATAATAAAGTAGTTATTATTTTGAGGTACTGAGAATGGTGGCAGCAAACAACAAATATCACATAAATGTTTCCAGAAGAAGTAAAAATGCCGTCTCCAAGAAAGGGTACTACTAATGAAGTTTCAGCTTAGGAGTGAACTTTACATTCATCCTCAGGTGATACCAGAAACTGTGCTAGGAAATTGTTGAAAGCCACACGAGAATTCAGGTGAAAAGTTGAAAACGGGTGATTGGTGATGTCTGGCTTGGGCTCCGATAAGGGAAACGGCAAGACTTGTGCCCCTTTTCTACCGTTCCTTGGTATGCGTATGAGTTTGCAACGTAATATGTCCCAATGGCCCAAGCAAAGGGATGGGAAGACCAGAAATGTTGCAAAACCATTTTTGAGCATATTTGTGAGCCTGGTATTATTCCAAGTGCTGAAATACAAAGATGAATAAGACGGCCGCTACTCTCACGGTGCTTACAGACCAGAAGGAGACATGGGCCTGCAGACTGTAAGCTAGACGACAGGTGCAATGGCAGAGCTGGGAGAGCATTAGGAGTACGCCAGCTGGAAGGGAGAACAGAGTCTGGGGGAGTCCACTTCCTTCGGCAAAAGACCACGTGCTACCCAAGTTGCCCACGGGTCTTAGACAGCTGTACAAATGGACCAAACCTATGAAACAGGGATTCTCAAACACCAGATAACCACCCACACTGACCTGTGATCTCAAAGAGAAAGAAAGCAAGATGATCCTGTGACTGCCCTAATCTGCCTAATGCTCCATGGCAGATTCAGGTCAAAGCAGAGGAAGAGACAACTCCGAGCTCAGTGGCCTCTCTGAGTGAAGGCCACGGAGGATGGCGTCAGCACACACCAAGGCAGGTGTGGACTTGGAGGACTGAGGGCCAGAGAGAAGGATGCGCCACAGAGAGAAAGCGGGTGTCGGGATGGGAGGACCCAGCACCTGGTTGAGATCTGCTCTGCTCACAAATGGTAAAACATGTTCAAGGCTATCAAAGAGAACATGACCAAAAAGAGAAGATGCACAGAAAGTACACAGACCCAGGTTTTGGCACAAGGCAAAATCTCTTAACTAAAAATGCTCAGGACTGGTCCACAATACACCTTTAGTTTACCAGAGTTTAACCTTCAAAAGGGTTGATACTGCACCCCTTCACTCATGGCCTAGCTCCCGATAGCGTACCTTGAAGCCCCTCTCGTCCCTCTTTGTTATTAGATGGTTTACATAGCTGACAGTCCCACAGTACATTCCTGTTGCTTTTCTTTCAACAATCTATTATCTTTTAAATAAAACTAAAAACAGGGAAGGAAAGGTCACATACGTATTTACTATTGGGGGCAATATCATTCCTTTTGTAGATTCCTATATCTTTCTGACATTCTTAGTTTTAGCATTGCTTTTCTTCTGTTTACGTTGGGTTTCAATTGTCTTTCTTGTTCCAATGTCTATATGTGTAAGTTCAAATAATTGATTTCAGAGATTTTCGTTGTTGTTTTTGTGCATGTGCATGAAAGAGCAATAAAATTGATAGCCCTCCAATGAGTAATTAAGAGAAAATAAAAATTATCAAAACCAACTGAAAGAAAATTACTACAACAATTTCTACTGTAACAATTTTGCAAAAAAAAAAAAAATAAGAGAATGCCATACATAATTTAATGCCAATAGATTTGACAACCTGGGTGAAATGGCAACAAATTCCAGAAAAACACAAACTACCAGAGCTCATTCAAAAAGAAATAGATAAGTGGATAGTCCTACATCTATTGAATGAATTGAATTTATTGTTAATAAAACTTCTCACAAAGCAAACTCCAGATCTAAATGACTTCATTGGTGAGTTCTACCAAACATATATCTACACAGTGTCTTCTGGAAAATAGTCAAGAGGTAAGAACACTTACCAACCCATTTCATGAAGCCTACTGGCTTTTTTTTTAAATTTATATATGACAGTGGAATGCATTACAATTCTTATTACACGTATAGAGCACAATTTTTCATATCTCTGTTTGTATATTCACACCAATTCCTTTCTTCATTCCTGTACTTTGGATAATCATCACATTCCACCATCATTATTAACCCCCTGCCCCCTCCTTTCCCCTCCAACCCCTCTCCCCTATCAAGAGTTCATCTATTCCTCCCATGCTCCTGCTCCCTATCCCACTATGAATCAGCCTCCTTATAT